TAATGGACGAAGTTCTAAGTTGATCAATGCATCAAAAGAGAATACATTAAATTATATCAAAAAGACTGCCAAACGTACTTACCGCAATCAAAATTCTCGACAAGTTTACGTAGAATAAACAAATTATTATTTAAGACAGCGTGATGAACGGGATACAGTAAATTTTTATCCGATTGTTGGAAAAAATCTCGCCTTCTTTTGCGTGCCGATTTCACGCAAGACCAAGAATGTTGATCGTCGCAATATTTGTTTAATTCAGTCTGAAACCTTTCCCACTCAGCTTCACGTGTTTCAACTTTCATCGGAGTTTTAGCAATCTAAGTTATAAAAACGTTTATACGTAAGAGATACAGCTGAATAGAACGAATATGTAGATATGAACCCACCCCTATTAATTTATCAAACAATTCCGATTTACTTGATCGATTATTTCGAGTAGTATTCAAAATACTCCATTGACTTTGTTCTTGTATTTGTTTGTGATCATTTTTCAATTCCCTCTGCTGAGTCTTCACATCGTTCGATGCTGGTCTTAATGATATAGTAGTGACACATTCCGTCTAGTAGAATGAAAAGGCTCTACCGGTGTCATCTGAATAAACGTTGTCTTATTTGTCATTGTGAATGTCGATACTCGATGGCCCTAAGAGGAAAAAATAGACTTACAATCTCAAGAGTAATAAAACGAATGCAACACGTATAATTGTCAGCGAACAAAAAAAAAACAGAGGAGCGTTATCTAGACTTACACATTCCCATTTGTACGTAACTGACAACAAACTCTTGAGACAATTTTTCCATTCTGGGATTGTTGATAGTCGTAATTAGGGGTGACACTTTATCTTCAATCTATTTAGCAACAGTAAAGTAAAGTAAAGCATTTGAATTTACTTTATTGAGTAAACTAAAGTGAAGTATTTGGGTGTGGGTGTGAGTGTAGATAAAGATGTTTCTTTTACTCACACCCCACACCCACACATGAGCATTCTCACTAGTTTTATTTTAATGCTAATATTCAAACACTTGATAAGAATATTTGTTTAAACTACATTTTTGATAATAAATTCTTATTGAATGAATGAAAGCCACTTATTACCATTATTTTATTCACCCAAGCAAATATAATCATCAGTGAAACTATGTGCTACAGGTGTTTGTATTAGCCATAGCATGAATGAAAGATGTTGATCTCAATACAAACCCACTGCTGGGCTTATAATTTACGGAACTAAATTTTGACCGGATCATTTATTGAAACTTTAGAAGCGCCTAAAATATCGTCTTCTTCATGATGAAAATCACCCATTGTACAAAATATAACGCGTTAAATTTTTAAAGAAAAGGACTATGAAGCAAAAGTATACATTTTCCTGGAAATTCATATTCCGGCTCTAGAGAAATGTCTATGGAAATTGACCTATTAATTTTTAAAGGGACTACCCACACTGAGTCGATAATTGGACTGAAGAACACATCCGTTCCTTCCTCATAGACAAAAACCTCACTAATCTCATACCGGCTGTTGTCGATATGAACGGTCACGTATTACACATGATATATTCAATGTGCATGGAGAATTGTGACGCGATATTCGACCGACTTAAAGCAGACACAAGCAAGGAGCGACCATTGACAATAAGTACATATCTACGTTTCCTCAATGAAATCAAGCCGTACATTCCTATGCCAGTCGAGTGCAACTACACTACAGTTTCTGCAATTTGTGATGTTATGTAGTCACATTTCTTTGTTCAATAAATAACTTGACTTTCCTATTCTGATTTGCAGGTAACTCTCAAAATGCTAGTTTTCATTAATATTCATTTCAAATGTTAGTGCAGAAATATGAAAATTCTATAATGTAAGAACATAAAAAGCTATTGAGATACTCTTTTCAACTCTATATAGTCAATAACGGAACTCGTAAACATATACAGTAACAAAATTTCTGATTTTAGTATCAGAGTTTTTTTCACCGAGATTGTTAGAAAACCAGCTTACCGATCATCAAAATTTTTATTTGAATTCGTTCATTCCATAATCCACTGTTCACTCTACAATGCTATATAATCGACTGCTTTTTGTGCACTCAGAGCCTCCGAAAAGACCATTGAGACAGTCGATTAACAATTCAGTCACCACTTCAATTAAATGATTGGAACGTTGTTAGTTTGGTGTTGCCTCTTAATCTTGAAGATAAAAATACTACCAAATCAATTAAGGTTAGAAATTAGTAGATCTTACAAATTGCCAAACAGATGTGATTATTGAGAGAAAACCGAGAAATTTAATTATAATTATAACCAATGAGCATCGAAACTATATCAAGATACTCGACTTGATTGACGCCATTATGATTGAGATCTTCTGTACCTTCTTCTTCTGCGCGCTAGACTTGATATTAATAGGGAGTGGTAGACATTGCCAAATGGGCATGCATGTGTGTGCTCTATAGAGATGGATTCGATTCGATTCAGTTCGTAACTTTTAGAACAGACCTCGGTTTCCGTTCGATTTGCTGCTTAGTTCAATTCATACAATGTAATTCAATATGGGTGTGAGCATAGCTATGAGGCTATCATACATGCATCATTATCAATACTCACATATTCATCAACACCCACACTCACACCCACCCTCGACAGAGAACAGAACAAAAACAAAAGATGACCAAATTCTGTATTCTTCAGTGGAAGTTTGGGATCTCGAACGGTGAACTACTTCACATTGTCATTGTCTTTCTCGTCAATATTCTGGATATCATGATTGTCATCGTTATCATTGTCCTTGTCATTGTTGTTGACCTGCTGATAATTGACAGAATCATCATTATCCCAGTGGTCTTGGCCATAATCATCGGTCGCCAATATACGAACAGTCCATACATCAAAACAATAATCAGAATCGGTCACATAATTGTACGGAATGTAACAATATCCTTTATTGCCCTGAAGCATCACATGAGAAATAGATAGTGAATTATGAGCGACGTCAGGTTTCTTTGTTTTTGAAAAATTCATTGTAAAACTTTGTATTTAATCGTGTTCTATTTTTTTGTCACGAAAGAAAAAGTGTAACAAATAGTTTCCACTTCTATTGGCTTACGAAGTCGCCTTGATTAATCTTTGCTCGTACTCCAGAAAAAATCATAAGCTGTATAAATCTCGAATATCTTATCGTAAATCATAAATAAGAATACTAATTATGTTCAAGAATTTGAATATCAAGTCTTTAACAAACAATTTTGTTGTTAAGATATCAGCCGTTAAAATGAAGAAGTTAATTTTAGTATGTGTTAAAACTTTTCTATAAAAACCTCTTCGAGATAGTGACAAAATAAAGAAAATTGTTCTTACCCAATCTTCTCCCCATGGATTTCGCACAATAAACGATTGTGATCGATCGCTGTATCCGACTGCCAGAAGTGCATGACTGAAACGAAGAAAGATATGTTCATGAGCAGTTTTTGACTACAAAGAATATTCTACCTGTCGTCCAACTGTCGAATTTTATCCTTTGAATTTGGCATCGGAACAACGCCTGTTTTTTCTGCTTTATCAAACGATGGAAACACCTTTAAGCCGAACGCAAATGGAAAGCCTTGTGCCAAACATGATTTCATCTTCGTCAAATCGATGTCCACTTGCAGTGCATCGACGATTTTATGACCTTCGCATCTTGATAGGCTTCACTGCTTGGTTTTGTATTCACTTGCGAAATAGTGTATGGCCAACTTGATTCGGGACAAACTCCAAATTCTTCCAGTGCTTCAATGCCATTTGTCATTGTACAAGCAGAATCAGTTATCCCCGATGGATTTTCTTTCGCACGACCATTATAATAGATGAAAAGACGACTGACAGCTATGTCCTGCTCGTTATCTTTCTTCGTTACATATTCATAGGCACCTGAGAAGAAGACAATATGTAATAGAAGTGATATATCATGATTGAATCTTACCGGCAAGACAGTTTGCTGCGCTAAATTGAAATAGAATCATATATGAGAAAAAAAATTGGGAGATCTATCCGATGTTCTTTTACCAGCTACCAATTTGTGATTGATCTTCAATGGGCATCATATCTGATCGAAGATCAACTTTTGCTGGAAGTTGATCGGCACTGTAGATAACATAATTCTGAAATGCCTGACGCAATCGGTGTTTGTGCGGCAAGCGAGTCGACTGTCGAATACCGTTGAGACGGAATTTTCTACCGGTAGTTCGAGTCATCAAATAAGTCTTCAGAGTCATCTTGCTTTAATCAAAAATTTCTATAATGAAACAATAAAAAAATCGTTATTATATACTTTCTGTGCATCGTCTAAATACTAGACGCAGCTGACGTCTAATGCACGATGGTTACTACCCGAGGAAAAAAACAACCTTTTCTTTCCTCTCTTTATACGAATTAAAGTCGATTCTTTACGTCAGTTCTTCTCGTTGTTTTTTTCTTTCCTCGTTTGGGGTGACAACGTGCACACAATTTACAACTACGCATTGCTATTTTTTCTCAATGAAATAGCAGTGTTCGTATGTTAGATGAAGTTTGTGTAAAGGACCCATCTCATAAGGCCATTTCGGACCCCCATTTTTTTCTTCAAAAATTTTCTATATAGAAATAATCCACACACAATCTTGATCAAAATTATCGACATTATTTTTCGAACAAATAGAAAGTATTTTTTACTGTAGGAGGACAGGAGTACGGTGATAACAACATTTTGGGGTGTGGCTGTGGCTGTGGCTGTTTGTGTGGTTTCGGGTTTGATCTGTTATACGTAAACATCCACTCACAACCTTACCCACACCTTCACTCGTACTTCTTCAGTTAATTGTAGTACGAAAGCCCTGTAAAATTCGTTGCGAAATGCCTATAATTGAGAACGTTATTTTATAAAATAGCACATATCAAACCACTGGTTACGATCACCCTGTAAAATTCGTTATGAAACCTCTGTTACGGGCTTTCGTAATGTCAATTCGTTACGAAAGTCAGAAAACAAAATCGTGACGAGTTGAAATTTTCCCCTAATAGACAGTCAATATCGATAACAAAATCCATCTATGGAAGCTAAGACAAAATTAAATGGTTATGAAAATTTCATTACAATCAAAATTTTCTTAAGTGAATAGTACTGAATATTTAGGATTTGGGGTTTACTCTTCAATATATTGATGAAAGAAACACAACATAAAGAGAAAGCATAACAGGCAAGGATGTTTAATGTGTAATACACGAACACAGATGCTATACACGTACTCTAAGAAAGAAATGGAAAGAGAAACATGTGAAAATGATAACACATAGCAATTTCTTATAGTAGTGAACAAATGATTGATGAATTCATTACCGTATTCAAGTTTTCTTTGAACAATTTTTAATATATCTGTGGAAAGTCAACATTTGAAAGAAGAGCGGCAAAACATTAAAAATCAAAATTTAGAAGAGTTAAATTATTACTTTGTTAAGTGAAAGAATATTTGGATCTCTTTATTCTTTTTAAATCCACAAATAAAAAGAATAGATGAAAAAAAACTACCATTTTTTCAATTCAGAGACTCACTAAAAGAATTTTGACGTATCCCAAACAGATCGTAAAAAGTCAATGAGTAGTGCGGCATGTAGTCGAAACTTGAACCATCAATACTTAGTCTCATCACAAATTTTGAGTATTTTACACGAAATGTATTCTCAAGGGCTCAGTAGAAAAGATTTCATCGATTAAGTAGTTTCGAACAATCGATTGTTTTTCCGATTAATCGTTGCTATATAAATACTCGAATTCTCTATCAAACAGAACTCAGGTGCGGAATAAATCGAAGTTCTCGAGTTCATTCAATCTTTTTGATTAAAGTTGACCTCAGAAACTAAGCTACACCTCAATATATTGTATTAAAAGTCTATACACTAAACTCTATTACATTTCATGTTGTCTATGACTACTCGACTGCATCAAGCTAAACAAAAATATTTCTATAGCTGAATCAGTAGGAAAAACAAGATAATTTCAAAATTTCCTTTTTTTTTATTCCAGCAATCAGTTGTCATTTTATCCTATCTTTACAAATCACTAAATACTCCGTTAATTCTACCCTGCTCATTAAATGTAGAAGTTCAATCTTTCATATGCTAGACATGTTGTTTGTATTCGTAGATCATCATCATCGCTTATGTTGTATAACAACTGCTACAGATTACTCAGTGATAAGAAATCGATTGAAATAATCGAATATAGGAACCTTAGATTATTTTTGTAAAATTTATAAATTATTTTGTTTCCTTTGTAATTTCTAATAAATGGCAGTGGGTGAGTCAAGCATATATGATCCAGGTTTCGACCTTTCTCAAAGATCTTGAGGGTGCGGGTGTGAATGTCGCTAGGATTTGAAGTAAATCTCACACCCACAGCCACACCCCACACTCCACACCCCACACCAACACCCACACACCCACCCGCATCGATTGAAGCTTATTTTTTATTAAATATTAAACCAGTGAGTATTTTAGTGTCTTTTTTTCCTTTATATCGATGTAACTTCAGTGTGAATAAATTGACATTTATGCTACTGGTTACCGTTTATATAAGATTCAAGAAGTTTCTTTTCGATTTCTCCATTGAATATCTTTAAGTTTTTTATTTTTCAACATTTTCAACACATTCCAACATATCTTTCGCTATGGTGTATCTTGGAAGTTCATACAAAATCAAACTTATTTGTCTCTTGAAGAATTCAATGGATCTGGATGCTTTTTAATAATATTGTCACAATTACCGTATATTCTTTGAAGGTAAAACACGTCAATCTATCATGTTCAAAACATCAGACGAATACGATATTATCTCATTTTTTCTGATTATTTTTCGTTCAATGTTGGTTGATAAAACAATTGTAATGGCAAGAGACATATCTTGACATTGACAGTAATTGTGCTTGAGTGCTAGTGTAAAATTTGTTGTACAAGTCATTTTCATGATTTTATTTTTTAAATTTAAGCTATTGTATCTGCACTAGCTACGGTGTGTAAAAGTGAATATTCTTTCATCCATAAACGAAGCAAAGTAAAAAGTGACTTGTTTATTTGGACTGTACGGTGTTTGAAAAAATCTTGTGATCGTATTTCAGTTGTTCGTATTAATGGAAGACTTTGATTTTAAAAAATTCATTAGTAAATTGTTCTTTATAAAATCAATTTCAGCTAAAACTTGTTTCCATTGCTAAATCCAATGCAAAGTAAAACTAGGAATTTTGTTTTTTTCCTATGAATTTTTCTACGAGCTAGTCTTATTTCAAGTCACGAAAAAAAGCTGTTAGCTCAATCCCTTCCGGTATTAAAGATGTGAAACACGATGAATCTGTTGTTACTAATTAAATGGAAATCGTTTTGTTCCATTTCTTTGCAATACCTTTTTAGCTAACCGTTTATCTGATGCTTTAGAACTACAGTTTCTCTGTCACAGTCTGTGATGGGACCAAAGCCTGTCTGTCACAGTCTGTGATGGGACCAAAGCCTGTCTGTCACAGTCTGTGATGGGACCAAAGCCTGTCTGTCACAGTCTGTGATGGGACCAAAGCCTGTCTGTCACAGTCTGTGATGAATATAAACCTTGTCTGTCACAGTCTGTGATGAATATAAACCTTGTCTGTCACAGTCTGTGATGAATATAAACCTTGTCTGTCACAGTCTGTGATGAATATAAACCTTGTCTGTCATGGTTTGTGGTCGGTGCAAAGCCTGTCTGTAACGGTCTATGGGGGGGAGGGGGGATGTCCAAATTTCTACCCCTAAACACTTCAACACTCCTTTCAGAGCATGTTTCACAAAATTTTTAAGTTACAACACACACATTTATGTGGATTTTTTCTCGAGTGTGTAAAAGAGAGTGAGTCGATTAATGACTCATAAACATCAAGAACAACATCACGACATGGTGTTGCTGTGTTGTTTTTTCTCATAGTGATAGAAAAAAATTATGAATTTCATAAAACAGCAGTAGAGAACGAAAGTAAAATTCATTTGAGCTGTTTTCATTTTACAGGTAAGACACACCGCAAAGAGATGTGTGTAGTGGACTGTTGTTGCAATGAAAATCTAATGTTCTCTGAGAAATACAGTATATTTTGACTATAGAATTCTGTGCATACGCACCAAAGAAACTAAGAAGTTGCACATTAAACTATGCTTTGAGACAAAACTGAAACTATAGACATTTAGATGAATGTAAATGAAGCTGGCCATCTTACTTTTACCCTAGACGGATGATGTATAGTCGGTTTCGTCAGCAAAACTTCAAAAGATCGTAGGATAACCAGAAACAAAAATCATGTTCATATCCATTACTGGGATCCATATGTATACGATGGAGAACGATCGTAATTGAACTGAGTCAGTCGTTGTATATTGTCACCAGTTTTTTGCTATGTAGTTCTCAACAGTTTTCGAGTATTTCGAGCCAAACAGTCAGTCATGAAGCCGGACACTGAAGTCATAAAATTGTGATAGATATGGCTTCTCTATGAAGTCAGAGTAGAGCTTGTAAACTCTCAAGGGAAACAAAAGTGTACGAGCGTGACTAAATCGTCTGAATTTTATTGTGCACTTAAAGCTAACTAATAACCAGCAAAGGTTGTGTACTTCTTTCAAAATCGAATGCTCCATCTCGTAGTTTGGAAGTCAGATTTCGTAGGAAATAATCGAATCAGGTTGTGATTCTGATATCTGAATCTTTGCAGTTTAATTTTTGATTATTCACAAATTTGAAGGTTCAATATTGAATTCATTCAATTGGATTCTTATTATAGAAACTTGAACATGCTGAGACGAGGAGCTCTTTACCATGCTTAAAGACTCCAGGATTCTATTTCAATCGCTATATGCAATCGGTACATTTTAAGAATTTTATTATCTTCAGATTCACGCGTCAAGGTCTAACAAAAAACCCTAATGTTATCATGTTTTTCTCGTCTGTGTGATAATGCATCATTTTACATCTCATATTCGATAAACAGAATCATTTAGATTATCACAAAGGTTTTAGTTTTCGTTAAGGCTCCCCAACCCTCGAAAATCGATCTCGGCTTAGGAACATTCAAATGACCTGAAATATAGAGCATATGTTGAAGCTGTAATGGGAAAGCTATGATAAAATTTTTAGCCCTGAATATTGAATTTTGAGGGAGATATTGACCAAAAACGGCTCAAAAACAGGTCATTTGGTAACCCATTTTTC